CAGAAAATGCATATCCTTTCAAGGGATTAAGTACATTGGTAAAACAGATTAAACTCGAGAAACATCTGCGTGGTTAACTTCTTTACTACTGTACCAGTTGCTAAACATTTGTTGTCTGGAATATTACCATTGTTGGCACGCTAAAAAAGAATAAACCTTACATCCCTAGTGTTATGGGAGCGAATAAGACACGGAAGCAATATTCGACAGTTTTTGAATTTAACGAAAAGGTTACCATGTGTTCCTAAGAAAAATAAAGCTGTCATTCTATCTACAATGCATTCAGATATATAAGTTGGTGATGACGCTAAACAAAAACCAGAAATAATAAATTTTTATAATAAATATAAAGCTGGAGTTGACACAATGGACCCAATGGTGCGGAGATACACCAGTCAACGACGATTTTCGAGATGGCCAATGACAATGTTCTTCAACATGCTAGACATTTCTTCACTTGCGGCATATATAATTTATTATGAAAATAATAAAATGTTTGTCAAAAAAACGACAGAACGTCGTCAATTTATGCGTAAACTAAGTGAAGAACTAGCATTGCCGATGATTGAACATCGCACGGCGAATCCACAAGTAATGAGCCACTTCTCAACAAAGAATGCCATTGAAAGTGTATTAGGCCATATACTGACAGAAACAGTCGTGATAAATCCGGGTCCAGAGACTCCAAAAGTTAAAACCGGAAGGAAAAAAGTAACAGGATCTTGTCACGTCAACAATGCTTTGCCAATAAGAAGACGACGAAAGACACGTAAGGCCTGTGCCAATTGTCACCAACCTGTGTGTGACGAGCACTCAGTTAATCGTGTACAATGTGTTCAATGTCATTAATTATAAAAAAAGTGTAATATTTATTTTTTTTTTAATAAAATTTAGTTGCATGCATTAATAGAAATTATATACAATTTTTTTCCTATGCTTTCCACTGTGGTACCCGGTTGCTAATAGGGCGATGGCTAGAGTTTAAGGTTATTTAAATAAAAATAAATAAAAAATTAATCAATTAAATGAACTCACAAATAGCTTTCTTTTAAGTTAAAAAACGACGAATTGAGAGCTTAAAATGAAATATTGAATTTTTTTTAAGCTATTCACACAAATACACTGCGGTGGGTACCCGGTTACTAATATAAGGGTTAATAGCGTTCTTATGAGGTAAAATGGGCTAAATCGAAAAACTATGAAGTAATGATAATAAGTAAACATATAGAAGTACTATATGGAGTGTGCTTAGAACATATAGAAGTAATTAAAGATTTCATATGAATTAAATTTTATAATATAATGTCATATACTAGGTGCGCTCCAAAGTAAACAGTAAAAAAGTAACAAAGTAAACTTTAGTGGCGCCATCTATATGTCGACTAGTGCGTTAGAATCTGTTATCCTTAATCGACTTCCAGTAAAAATTTCATGACATTTCATCTATTGAAAGTGAAGTTATTGCGTTTTAAGTGTCAGTATATTTTTATCATCGGTGCGAAAATGAGCTTCGAACAAAGAGTCAACATTAAATTTAGTTTCAAAATTGGTAAAACTTTTACCGAAACGTTTCAATTGATGAAACAAGTTTATGGCGATGATTGCCTAACCCGTAGCAGAGTGCACGAGTGGTTTCAACGTTTTCAAAGTGGTAGGACCTAAATGAGAAATGAGCCGAAACCCAAAAAATCGAGCCTGGAGAAGTCAAAAGTGAAAACAATGCTGATTTGTTTTTATGGTTCCAAGGGTATTGTCCACAAAGAGTTTCTTCCACCCGGCCAAAACGTCAATGCGGTATTCTACATTGGAGTTTTGAAGCGTTTGGTGCGCCATATTCGACGTGTTCGGCCCGAATATCGCGAAGATGGAAGTTGGCATTTGTTGCACGATAATGCGCCGTCTCATCGATCGACGCTTGTGGCCGATTATTTGACCAAAAATCACATTTTAACAATTAACCACTCCCCGTATTCACCTGATATGGCACCGTGCGACTTCTACCTTTTCGGAAAAATGCATTTGCCGATGAAAGGAAGGCGTTATGCAGACGTGGAGGCCATTCAAAAGGCTTGCACCGGCATACTGGCGGCCATACCGGGCAACGAGCTAAAACTCTCGTTCGACATGCTTTTGGACCGTGCAAAAAGCTGTATTAAAGCAGAAAGAGACTGTTTTGAATAAAATAACTTGATTTTACCGGTAAAACCGTTTGTTGTCTTTTTTTTAAAAGTCCTGTTTACTTTGGAACGCACCTTGTACATATGTCTCAACAGATATGTGCAAGTTTACCTGCCTACATACTTTTTACAATCGCACGTTACAGTCACATGTTACTAATTGAAACGTTTGAATAAAAATATGAAGTGTTGGTTGATTGTAAGTACAGACACATTGCACATACACGTACACTTATGATTAAATAATGTTTTAACAGTATATATGTAAATGAATACTTTTATCAACATGCCGTGAGTTCATTTCACGCCATCAAATTAGATAGTATTATCAGATACAGTGATGTGCGATAAAATAAAGCCACACAATCGCTGACGATGTTACATCATTTACAAGTTTTCTGTGAACCTAATATTCTGTGAACTAACGGTAGATAAATAATAGCATCGTCTTTGAATATTATTCAAGTATTTCTGAAGTCAATTGCGAGTTCCTTTTTTGCAAATCAGTGAAAGTGTGCTATTGACTGTGCAATGACGTGTGCGTTAAAATGGGGCCAAACGATAAAATTATACATTTTGCTAAGCGAAAAAACTTTATTTGATAAAATTTTCATCAAAACGTGAGTTAAAGAGTTTTAATTTTATACATTTAATGTAAATTTTGTAATTTCGTATAAATGAGGTATAAAAATGAAAAGAGCCAAGCACTGCAGTTCTGAATGCCGAAAACTGATAAAAACTTTGAGTTTACAATCAAAAAGCCAAAAGAAAATAGCTCGAATAGTTGGCTGCTAAACAAAAATGGTTGCGAATGTAATAAATTATAGAGAAAAGCTAGAAAATAGAGGTAAAAAAAATCCAAAAAAATCAGTGCAGTTTTTCAAAGGCGAATCCCGAGTCAGGTGAGAAAAAATCCGTTTGTGACCTCTTCCGCCCTTAAGAAGCAATATTGTTTGAATGTGAATACTTTAACCATTCGAAATTTATAAATCAAAAACAATTTAAAAGATAAAGTTGCTCGGAAGGTACTATTTCTGACCATAGTCAATATAAAAAACGGTTAAAGTTTGCTGAAGATAGTGCTGAATGGCCAGTCAGTAAATGGCGAAAAATTCTTGGGTCAGATGAAACCAAAGTGAATTTATTCAACTCAAACCAAGGTAGTCTTTCTGTGCGAAGACCGCCCAATACCGAATCCCTTTCACAACACAATAAAAAATACAATAAAACATTGCGGTGGGAGTATAATGGTTTGGGGCGCTTCTTATATTATGAAGCAGGTCCGCTATTTTAGACAGAGGGTAGAATGGATGCATTACAATACTATATATAATAATAAAAATTTTAAGCTAGTCCCCGAATCACTAGACCTCAATCCTATAGAAAATTTATGGCAGGAGGTTAAAGTGACTCTGAGAGGCCAAAATCCATCCAATAAAGAGGATCTTTGGAGGCTAGTGAAGGCCGCATGACATAAAATTCCAGCTGTTATGTACCAGAATTTAGTGGATTATATGCCCAGATTTTGCACAGCAGTTATAAAAAACAATGGATACTGCACTAAATATTAATGTAACAGTTATTCTTCTTTATCCTTTCTATTGATTATTTCATTAAAAATTACAGATTTCAAATCACCGAAAACAAATAAATTTAAATAACGTCTTCTGGTTCTATTTCAAAGCACAGTCAAAACGGGACATGCTAATGAGTTTTTAATTTTTTAATTTTGATTTTAGACTTAAGACTTTTAATTGGCATCTTAATATATACTCCATGCGTTGTTTCTTTTCTACCAATAAAAAAAAACTTTGAAAAAAATTCTGAAATATATTGATTTAAAATATATCTATAGTACTGGCTCTATTTTATCGCACATCAGTGTATGCACGTATGTATGTTTGTAAGTAGACTAGTGAAATAGAAAATTCTAAAGTATTACAAATCAGAGTTCTACAAAATACGTCAGTGACCATAGTCTGGGGGTAAAATCTGTAGATTATAAAATAAAAAAATTTGTAGTAAAAAAAAGTTTTTAAACACCTAGAGGCGGCGCACTCAGTTTCAAAGTAAATTTCGAGTAAAATTTTTTTTGGACAAGAAAAAATTATTTTTATTTTAAACTCTTTACATTTATATAAAAATTACCGGATGCGACGGTTTTTGACTCAAAACTTAGTTTAACGCTTAAGGAAAGCATGTGGTCGTTTAAGACTTTTTTTTAAAACTCCAATAATGACCACAAAAATTTTTTTTAAGTTGATAACTTTTAATTGGCCAGAAAGAGGACTATCCACAGCTTCTAGAACACTTTTAACTCGGAAATTTACTTTAAAACAGAGTGCGCCCCCTCTAGATGTCAAAAAAAAGGTTTTTTTTGTCCAAAAATTTTCTTTTTTTATAATCTAGATTTTACCCCCAGGCTAAGCAAAAAAACTTTTTTTTTTCGCTCCACCCTAATATATATATATATGTATGTATGCCATATAGGTATGTACATAAATACCTGTATATGGGGACATACATACCGCTGTTTCTGTACTGCTAGCTAGTGACTGGTACTAGTTATCAAGAAAAATAAATAAAATTTACAAGCTATTCTTACAAAGAGCGAAGGAACGAAAAATTAAATAAACAGACTGTTGCAGAAATAAGCAAAAAAAAAAAAACATCTGAATAGTTTTTAATAACCACATCATATCAGTGCTAAAAAATTAATCAATAGTATTTTAAATAAATTGCTCGCTAAAAACTTTTGAGCTAATGAATGAAAACAACTTTTTAATAATAATAACAAAAAAACAATACATTAATTAATATATAAATATTTAAATTTGTATTATTATTTAAATCCAATCCTGTTTTCAAAAACTCACAATTTGTGCATTCATCTTTATTTAATGAATCTTATTTTTATTTTAACAATTCAAAAATATTAAAATGAAGAAAAGCAAATCAAATACGGCAAATATGGCTTGATTACACAAGTTTTTGACAGCTATTTCTTCATATGACAGCAGCTAATTTCTGCTAGTAAATATTTAGCTAGAAAAAAAGCAGTTCTCTCTTCTACTTCTTAATATACTCAAGTCGTAAAAATTACAATTCTTTAAAAAAAAAAAAACGTTTTTTTTAACTATTTCTTATTCATAAAGGTAACAAAACAGAAACACACTTGATGTATATCCAAGTCGTAAAAAATTAAAAGTATTCATTCAAAAATGTTTCTTGTGCTTTTTTTCATTCACAAAGGAACGGCAGAAATTAATAATATTTAAATAATTTTGTAATCAATACAAAATTTTCCTTAATCATAAAAAATCTTATAGGTAAAATAGTCTGTCAGAAAGCTCTTCCGAAGTAGCTCTCCTTATGCTTTGACCGATGAGATATGCCATTTTATGCGCATATTGGCAACAGGCCGGTATGCGAATAGTGCCTGGCCAATTATAATACATGAAGCAGAGTTTATAAGTCAGCCTTTGTATAATATCAGGACTATACTTAGCATCGTCTCTTAATACTATATAATGAGACGGTGTAACTGTGCCTTGGTGTACAGTTTGTGATACTAGATAAAAATCGTACATCTTTGAACGCGTTATACAATCGTCAACGATTGTACCTGGAGGAGGATTATCGATACTGGATCTATTCATAGCAAAGTATCGGGTATTTATTCGTTTTTGAACAATGATGAAAGTTATTTTTACGGCAAAATCTGTAAAGGCACGTTTACAAGCTGCCTCCAGTTGTGGTATCTCATGACCGGAACAAAGAGACAATTGACCATCACCAACACCATCTCGATATATAATAATACTGTCAGGAAATCGTCCATTCTCTCGATGAAAACGCGTTACTGCAGCTGTAAACGACGAGCATAAACCGTTAACGATTTCTTCCCGTTTACCTTGTATTACAGCTTTGCTGTACCACTTTGTGTAAGAAGAATTTAATGACGCCACAAAAGCAGCCACGGAATTTCCCTTTTGAGCGGCATCGTGGTATGAATCAATTCCACATATCATAACATTTTTAAATGGAATTTTCACGGCCCACAATGACCCTCCCAATTTACAGTTCATTTGCAACATGATCTTTTGTACTATCGAACGATTTTTGGCCTCATTCAAAAGGGTTCGTGCATTTATTACCTGTGAAGGTATTGGTATCTCCGCGCAGCAAACTTTTTTAATGGCCGCATAACGATCATCACGATTTGTTGGACTTATACATACCACAATTTGCGATTGACCATCTATATTGCTTCTCAATGCCTTCACAAAAGTATCTACTCGATCATTATCCAAAGTAACAATTTTCGGCTTATCAACGCGTATTCCTAAACCACGAGAATTCCTATCTATATTCTCGTAAAAATTTTTGGCACATCTTGTATCACTTTTGCAATGTACTAATATCCAATTTGTTAGATGGACCACCTCTAGAACTTCATTGCTGCATACATATTTAGAAAAGTCGGCGTTTATTCCAGCCGGGAATTGCTTTTTAGCAAAATATATTTGCTCTTCTTCGAATTGCCTTCCATTCAAAAATTCATGAGAATTCTTCAATGTCAATCCCCAACTTTGAAGTATGCTTTGAGCTTCTGGACACCTATTAACATTATTGAAAAATTTCTCTAATGCGAGCAGTCTTTGATTCGGGGAGACTCTTGTAAATGTGGCGATCTCACGCATTAATTTATAGTCCGAACGTATGTCATCTCGTAAGCCAGTCAAATAGCATAATTCAGGAATTAGGCATACCACTAAGTCTTCATCGGCTTGCTTATCAGCGGTTTTTTGCTTCTTTATGCTAATTATAAGCGGTTGACTCTCATCTTTTATTAGAATATTATGACTCTGTTTGTAATAATCGATATAAGATAACTCGGCTTGTTTGGTTTGGAATGTTGCTTTTGGATTTTTATCAAAGCAAATATCGTCTATCCTATATGTTCGATTATTATAGCGAGTTATAACTATGGAACCCAATAGAAATTTTTTGGCATTTTCTTGAAACAACTTTGAGTTGGAGCGATAGATCTCTACTAATGATTCAAGCACAGTCTTTTGACATAAAAGTCGATGTGATACGTCACAACACAACATCAAGCCACCTTTGTATTCATCAATCGCGGTTACATATCCCGGCCATACTTCCAATTTAGCTTGTGGAATAATTTTTGGAGCTGTTGGATCGAATTGCTTTCGGTCAAATCGAACATAATTTAATGTTTTCATAACTCTGTCGAATAACACGTTGTAAAGATGTATACAATTTTTGAGAGCTTCTTTTCGTTTGAATAAAATACGGATTTCGATGTCAGAAGTGTCCGCAAGACTTTTACAAATAAATGTCGTTAATTTTTCTTTCAGTAAAATTGGCAAATAAAGTGTTACTCCGTCAAATGTTTTAGTGCCTCCAAATTCATCGCGATGTTCATTTAGGTATTTCATGCGCAAACTAAGTGAATCTACAGGAGGATGAAATCGTACTTCGTACACATAAACTCCTTTTTCGGGATCAGACGACAACCGAATGTAATTGCATGCTAAACGCACCGGCATACCCTTACTACCATGCTTCTTTTCTGGGTTATAGATATCTGACTGAATTAAGTCTATGTTGGGTTCTGGTTTCGATTCCAACCCAACGTTAGGTATGGGAATCGGTGTAGACGATATAGGCTGAGTATTCAGCGGTTCATCTGGTTTCTCAGGAGTAAATAAACTTTTGAATACATTTGCACGGCCACGTCCACCTGAGGTAGAAGGTTGGTTCAAATCACTTGAAGAAGTTGTATTTCTTTGATTTGTATCGTCGGAAAAACGACCCTCAAGAGTCATGTTAGCACATGAAGAAGCCAGGTCATCCAGAAGCTTGCCTCGCCCGATACGACGATACTCTCCCGAAGATTGAAGGCTTTTGCTTCCCAGCCCACTGTCTTTTTGTGATAATGAGTCAGTTGAATCTTTGTCCACCATAAGGGAATAAAGGAACCCGCGTCCGCGTGCTGCCATCACTATGGGAGTAAAAACAAACAAATATTAATTTAAATACAATTGAAGAAAAGAAAAACGGCTAAGTTTTGACATAAACTCAACCGAAGAGACTGAATTTAATATATAGGAATATGAGATTAAGATCAAGGTCTAGACCAACCCAATCAAGTTCGGCGCTAAAACATTAATATCATAAGGTTTTTTAGAATGACGGAAATTATTATATGTATTATTATATAATTTTATATATTTTTGGCATTAAAGTTAAGTACGTATATCCAATATTATAGATTCAGTTAATTTTGGTTAGATATCTTACATATTGACCGATATATAAGGTATAAGGTCAACCGGAAGTCTGAAAATATTACATTAGGTATATGAGAAATAGTTGTAGTATTGACCTGAATTTATCTATTTTCGGATTACCAAATATTGTTAACAGAAACAGATCTCTGAGTTTCATTAAGGTATCTCACATACCATCAACAATATACACATGTATATATACATATATATATATATAAGCAGTAAAGTCAACCGGATGTTTGAAAATCCTGATATTAGTTATATGGGGTCTAGAGCAATTTTTCACCCGATTTTATCCATTTTAGGCACAGAGATGCACCTTTAGGAGAAAAATACGGTCACTCAATGTAATTAAGGTAACTCACATATTGGCCGATGTATGGGGAATAAAGTCACCCGGAAGTTAGGCTAAGATAACTATTGACTCGAATCAATCTATTTTTGACATACAGACATACTATTATCAGAATATGATTCTCTGCGAATTTCCGAGTATCTCACCCATTGACCGATATTTTCGATAATATGTCAATCATAGGCACTGGGGTCCACATCTTCGGTATTTGGAGGCTTGAACAGTGATGGTTATATTTCGACAATATTTAGACATGATATCGTATATCTTAAATACACTATTTGTGCAAAGTTTTAGCCCGTTAAATTCATTTGTTTTTGATTTGTATACTTGGTGTTACAAAATCTGATTGGATTTTCGTTATATGCAAAACCAATATTCGAATCAGTTGTTTACTAATGTGAAAAAAACTTGGAAATAATAAATTTGAAAGTATTTAATAAATTTAAAATACTCAATAAAGTCTATTAAAGTTGACGATTAGATCCCCAATTTTAGCTTTTATTTTATTGGAGGAAGAAAGTAACGAAAAGATTAAAACAAACAATTTGAGAGATCACAGTAATCCACTTAATACCCCAAGGTACAAATTTAGCTTGCATTTACTTGTATGCTTATGTATGGTACTTGACAGATTTATACCACATTATCGGCTGAATAAAGACGCATTTATTATGGTGTTAAATTACGTTTATTACGTAGTGTAAATCATCTTACAATATCTGTTTTTTTCATAAACCTAATGATTATCGTATTAAGTTAATTTGTAATAATAAAATAACTTAATTTCTAAACTAACATTTTTAATATGTCAGCGACTATCTTCTTGCTTTATTTCTTATAACAAAACCGATCAAATTTGTTTCTGTGACACCCAAAACCCACACAATATCTGTTTCGAACACAAACCAATAATATCTGAATTCAGTGTCTGACACTTTTATTATTTTTAACAAAACCGTTATATGAAGAGTGGGCGGGGTTATCATCCATTTTCTATACGACAGTGAGTTGTCCTGGCTTGAATGGTTTAAGAGATACATATATACATTAAACCTATTAGGGAGCGAGAGCACGCCCACTTTTTAAAGGCTTTTAAACACAGGTGTCTCTTCTTAATGCGATCCGTTGTACCAAATTACAGTTTTGTATCGTAATTTGTGGCTTAGTTATGGAAATTTATGTTTTCGTTCAATGGCGTTTTGTGCGCGTGGCAGTTGGTCGATCACGCCCATCCACAATACCAAACCGAGGAACATACCAGGACAGACGGACGAACAGACAGTCAACTCGTCTCGTCATCCTGATCATTTATTTATATACAAAAAAAACTTTAAACCGGGTAAAATTTAGAATAGCATCCCAAGAATTCGGGTTAAAATGGGTATGTACGGATAGAAGAGGTCTTGCAAATTAAAGGAAATATGTATATATATTGTAGATGTCGCTGATTTATGGTTTTTGAGATATTTGTATTTAATGTTCAAAAATGTGACTATTTAAAGTGCGTATTTCTTTGATTTATAATTAATTTTACACTTAAGGTATCGGTCAAAACATTTGCAACTAGAGCGAAGTCCTCGATTTTTTTTCTTTTACAATGCCATTTTTTCTTCAAAGTGCTTTTTGTTTCGTGTTTTTAAAAGAACACAACTATCGCAGTAGTACATCGTGTTTGATCGAAAACAAATTTCAGAGCATAATTTGGAGCGTTTAAGCAGAATAAAATCGATTTCTTGCGTCGTTTTATAACTATGGATGACTTGGATCTACCGCCATGATTCTAAATTGAAACAAGAACGTTTACAGTGGACTGAAGCTGGTTGTTCAGCACCAAAGCAGGTGAAGTCATAACGATCAGCAAAGAAGGTTATGGCATCAGTTTTTTGGGATGCAAAAGGAATTATGTCAATTGATTATCTGCAGAAAGATAAAACAATCAACTCTATATATTATTGCAGTCTTTTGGATCAGCTGGATGAAAAAATTCGTGAGAAAAGCCCTGGTTTGCATTACAAAAAAATTATTTTTCATCAGGACAATGCCCCTGCTCACAAAATTATTTTAACAATGACAAACTTCAACGAATTGAAATACGATTTGGCTCCCAGCGACTACTACCTCTTCAGAAACCTGAAACAATTCCTTCGTGGAAAGCATTTTCGTCGAATGAAGAAGCTAATAGAGCCGTAGACGGGTATTTTGCAGAGCTTGGGGAAAGTCATTATAGTGATGGCATAAAATTATTGGAGGATCATTGGAATAAGTGTATTGAAGTTAAGGGAGATTATATTGAATAAAAATATATACTTCATACCAAAAACAGTATTTTTTAATTTCGAGCGCAGAAACTTTTCAACCAACCTGTATATACACTCGACAGGAAGTCTGCGTACATGCTTATATCTTATTTACTTTTGACTTTTATATACACAATTTTAGAGCATAATCATATTAATAGCTTTATCACTAGTCTAATGCATAATCCCATAGCATTAAAAGCATTACAAATCTGACACTATAGTTTTGTAGACAAATTTACAAAAAATAGTAATTTATGCGTACAAGTAGTAAAATGAGGAACTCGGTCCCAATTTCCCAGCCGAAGCAGCTTTTTTAGCTAACGAGCTCGACACCCTACGTCAATGCCGATCCACGAATAAGGGATCTCGTTTTACTGAATCGGCAAATGGTAAATAATAATATAATAACCGTACAAAATGGATAGAGAAGTGCGCGAGCTATTTTAGCCGGCAATTTACACTGCACTCTGCGACTGACAAGGCCAGACGTTGTGTTACACTCACTTTCACCGATGGGGAGGTTCAGAGTGCCATCAACAAGGCTAAATCGTCCAAATCCATTGGCCCCGACGGAAGTAAGCTACCTCACCAAGGCCCTCAACTTGTCCATGATCACTCTTCAAATACCCGATGTGTGGAAAGTCGGAAGAGTGGTCCCACTACTGGAAAACCCGCCAACAAAAGTTCGTCCGATAACTTTCCTTTCCCCAGTAGTGAAGACACTTGAGGCCTTGGCACACCCGACATTCACTCACCACCTGAGTTCAGTAGACCATCAGCATGGCTTCCGAAAAGCGCACAGCACCACCACAGCACTTAGCGTCATAAACGCCCAGATAGTTCATGGCCTAAACGAGAAGCCACTCTGCGAGAGGACGATCCTCGTAGTGTTGGACTTTGCAAAAGCTTTTAATACAGTCAACCACACAACGCTACTTGAGGACATAGAACAATCCACCCACCCCAGAGCGGTGGACTATGAACTACCTGAGCGGTCGGCATTCACCCATACTGTTTCGAGGTCAAAGCTCCAAACTGAGAAGAATAAAACAAGGGGTTCCGCACGGTGGTGCCCTCTCTCCGCTACTGTTTAATTTCTACATCTTGAAACTTCCCCAACCACCAGAGGGAATTTCCATGACCTCGTACGCTGATGACTGCACGATATTGACGTCGGACAATGGAATCGATTGCATGTGCTCGAAGATAAACGGCTATCTCTCCGACCTTTCTCGCTTCTTCTCTGCAAGGAGCCTGACACTCTCCCCCACTAAATCCACAGCGATCATTTTTACAAACTGGACGAAAAAGTACAGACTGGATCTGGACATTTCAGTCGATAGCATCAAAATTCCGACAGTCAACAACCCTAAACTTTTAGGCGTTACATAAGACAGTCTGTGCTTCTTCACTCCTCACACGACCGCTATAACTGCCAAAGTACAGAGCCGCAACAAAATCCACAAATCGCTTGCCGGCAGCTCTTGGGGAAAAGACAAAAAACGTTGCTGGAAACATACAAGGCAATCGGCCGACCGGTCTTAAACAATGCTGCTCCATTATAGTCGCCTGGATGTAGTGCGATGCAGACGAAGAAGCTTCAGACTTGTCAAAACCCTGCACTCCGGATTATCACGGGATGCCTCTTGATGTCCCCAATCGAACACTAACATAGTGAGGCCCGTATGCTTCCGGTTAAGGAACATAACGAGCTCTTCTCTAAGCAGTTTCTGCTGGGATATTTTCGTAGAAATTACCACTACAGTCATCTGCTTGAAGCGGAACCGACTCGTAGGAACATCAAGAGGTCCTTCCTTGATTACGTCGACGACATTAGACAGTACGCCGACCAGACTTCGGACGCAAGGAACTTTGGACAAGTACTGACCGCCATTCACAGTGGAGCCATCAACATCATCACCGACTCCCTCTCAGTGAATGGCGTACTAAGAGTCAAACAACCACCCTTAGCAGACGCAGAGCTCGAGTTGCCTCGCGAATCCAGAGTAACCCTCGCGCAACTTCGTTCTGGGATATTGTAGCAGATATACTA